TAAGTATATAATATAATAATATAATATTAAGTATAATTAAGAGCATATAATATGATAATGAAAATAAGATATAATAATAAGTACAAAATAGTAACAGGTACCATATAATAATAAGTAAAAAATAATAATAACTAAAAAGTAATAATTAAATCCCTCTTTTTGGTTAGTATCAAACCCGCAGGATATCTCGTAATTGACAGTGAATGTGTTAAACAATGGAATGTATTAAGTAGCATACGGGGCGTTGAAACTGGAAAAAAACCAAGTGCAAGTATTGGTGCAGGAGGTTTCCAGATGAAGATTTTCATCTGCAAGTTAAAGAACGACCTGGTCAATCGCCAAGATTCAAGGACAATTGCGCATCCTTCGGTCCCCGATCGAACCTCTGAATTACGTAGGATTGCGTGGAATTCGCGTTATCGACTCGCACGACCGTTCCGGTTTACGTCATCAAAGTGCGCCAGTTCCGGCAATATAGAACAATTCATTTAAATGCACTCGATCCGTCGCAAAAATTTCATTTTCAAGATGAAACAGATGCCGCCGCGTTTGAGCCGCGCCTTTGTAGCTGCACAAACGCGTGCCACCGTAGAATCCGTTAATTTCAAGAATTCCTGTTCCCGTGTTCTCATATTCTGTTTGAATCTGCGCGTTACGTTGCTCCGGACACGAAAGTTCCACCGGAAATTCGCTTTCGATCGACGAAAACGTTCGAGCGCGACGGAGACAAGATTCCGCCGATCTGTTCTAATACCGTCATTTTTCCGGAATAGTTTATTCATAGCCGTCGGCGAAAGCGGAAGCGCGGCTAGCGTCGCGGAAGAAGATAACAATTAAATGTGAAATTGCATTCTGCGCCACTTCACGGGGAAACCAGATCCTCGGTGACACGAAACACAGGCTTGCTCGATCATTTTATGCTCCGGCGGACTAAGAATTCCTCGCGTTTGTCGGAGTACGCTTTCTCTCGGAGAAACAAATAATCTTTCCGTTCGAAGAATGCAGATTCGATGGGGCACCGTTCAACGAACGCCTCGAAAGCTTTATTAATATCGGAGGAGCCAGACGGTCAAAATTATTTGCCGGTATCTTACGAGAACGATGTTGCTTCTTCCGATCGGTGGCGAAAACGATGTTCGAACGTCGTTAAAATCAAATGCGACTAACATTATATTAACCAGATTTTATATTTAACTAGGTTGCCTAAGCGAGTGAATTTGATTCTTTTACGATTTTATTGCTATACATATATATATGTAACTTAAATAATTTTTTGACAAAAATGTCTCGCAATCCGAAAGTAGGGGATTCCTGAGGTCATTTGAAGCAACTTTTTCCTTTGCGAAAATGCAATCCGCGGCTTTGTTTACGAGTTATTAACGAAAAACAGCGACCAATCAGAGGCGAGATCATTTGGCGCGAGACGGCTCCGCGCACTCGTTGGCTGGGCCGCCGCGCGCCAGCCGAGCTCGCCTCTTATTGGTCAGTGTTTTTCGTTGATAACTCGTAAACGAAGCCTCGGAGAAAATTTTCGTAAAGGAAAAAGTTGCTTCAAATGACCTCAGGAATCCCCTATTTCCGGATTGCGAGACATTTTCGGGACACCCTGCTATAAATATATAGCAATAAAATCGTAAATGAGTCAAATTGACTCGCTCCGGCGATCTATATATATAGTATTAGTATCGTCGAACACGATCCGTTCGAAAAGGCCGGTGCAACGATTTCACGTTGTGCCTAATAAATTCGCCGACGGCGAATGAATAAAGGCGAATTTTGTCCGTCGCGCTAATGGATCCGGTAAATCAGAAATGATATAAAACTGCGGGCGACGGCGCGTTTCGATTTCCCGGCGGAGCATCAGGCTCGATCCTAATCTTGGTAACCGTCGGATCAAATGAATTCCGCGTGCCCGCGAAACTAATGCGGCTCTGTCACGATAAAATTCTCCGCGCGTACATTTATTCCCGGACGGTTCGTTCGGTCGCGCGATCCCGCGGCGCCCCGTGTCTCCGTAACACGCTACGTCAATTACATTATCCGGCGATTGCATTGATTACACGTGTACACGGCCCCTCTAATTATGCACTTTGCCGGTTGTCGGTGAAACCGCGGCCACGGGTTTGCCCTGCGAAACGAATTGGTCATAACGCGCGCCGAGGCTAACTTATTCCCCTGCAATTTATCCTGCCGCGGGACCGGCTGCCCACCCATCGCTTCGGCAAATATCGGCCAGTAATTACGATAAAAGATTACGATAACACCCGGGCATCGTACGAGGCCGCTCCCGGATTTACGGCGACGATCGTTGTTTATTGCTCGCGGATCGTTTATTCCCGGCCGTGGAATCGTGTCCCCGCCGTTTCGCAATTTCTGCAATCGGGAAGGGCGGGGGAGCCGTCGTTTTAATATAACCGTGACGCAGTTCACCGGCGAGCGTTCATTAAGGCTTCGATAAAATACAGAACGCGTCTTGTTAAATCGCTTCAGAAATTTGGAAATTTAACATCGATGGATTACAGATTTTTGTGCACTCGTGGCGTGCGCGTGAACGTCGAAACAATTCAATGAGATTTTTATCTATCTGCGATGCAATTTAAAATCAAAAATCCTATCATAAAATTTCTTCGTGTAATCGAGTCTAAAATAAAATCTATTTTAAACGGAACAACGTATGTTATAATTCAATTCAACTGTCTGATATTTTATAAGTTACGTTCATTTTTGTAAAGTGATGCAACAACTTTAGGCTATTAGATTTATATTTAAATGTTATATAATTATAATCATTAATTACATACATTATATATAATTATAATTATTAATTATATATATAATTATAATATATAATTATAATATATAATATTATATATAATTATAATTATTAATTATATATATAATTATA